TAAATAAATATATTAATTATATTTTTAACATGATTCAACTGTTGTCTTTGGAAATTGGAAAAGCATCAATCCCTGGCTTGTAACTTGTAAGCCTTCCCGGTTTTTGCTTAGTGGGCTGGTCTTTCAGACGGGGGGTTGGACATGGATTGGTAAGCCCAAGAAGTACATGTTTGGCCATTCATTTTACTTAGCGTAACAATCTCTTAGATTAAAGTTATTTTAAACAACTTTTCTTTAAGTTTTTAGTCTAGTAGAAGTAGATCAACATCTCCCGTACATATTATTGTTTTTAATTGATTTAGTTTTTGGATAAGATTAGTCTCTATGATATATTCTTTTCTTTTTTTTTTTGTTTGCTTTCACTAGATTTTCAATTATTAAACATTCGATTTAATTTAAATTTAAGTATGCAATTTTAGTTGATTTCATAATCTTTTACACTTCTGCTACATTTTCCAAATTTCTGCTAAGTTTACGTTTTCTGCCTGAAATTTTTATTTCTATCTAATTATATTTTTTGCACCTTCTTTTGCTAATTTCTAGCATCTATCTTAAGTTTATTTAATTTCCAACATTTTAATTTAATTTTTCTTGATACTACTTTGCTATGACTAAAGTTTTTAACGTGCTTGCAAAACAATTCTAAACTCATTGTATGAAAATTAGTCCCTCATTCTTACCAATCATATAGTTTGGACACATTTTATTTTAAACAATTTCCTTCTAACAACCCTTTTCTGTAGGGAGAGACTAAGTGAAAGGAGAGGGTTATCAGTGAATCCTTTTCTTATTTTTCTAGCAGAAATTGGTGATGCACCTTGTTCTAATTTCTATCATGAGGTATGACTTGCAGGATTTTAGGGGTAACAATATCCAAATGAGGTGACGGGAAATCAAGTGGATTCAGAGAGGGAGGAAAAGATATGATCACGAACTGACTCGACAATCACCATCATATAGCATTGATGATATTTGATCACAAAGTCTTCCTACAGCGATAAGCCGAAGGAGCTGTCTCTTTTGGCCTTGTGAGTGTCCACGTGATAGCCATGAGTCAGACCTTCACCCCTCACCAGTATTCTATAAGGAAAAAAGTATATATGGAATCATGTTGTGCAATTCACTTTCAGCCATCATCATTCCAATACGTCAAAGTAGTAATAATTCCACAAACACATTTAGATGATTTTGTTTTTATAATTTACAAAGACGAGAGACTCAAACCTTTTGAAACTTTACGTAAGATGATGTGCCATCAGGATGGAAGTCGTTGTAACCTTGCCTTAGAGAACACAGGTAAAGAGAATAGAGGAAAAGGCAACAAGTATGTAAATTTGTGTGCCCAAATTGGCTGAGCATAACACTATTGTGCCTACCAGCAGTGAATCTTCTGTTGTTCCCACTATTAAAATTGGATAAAGCGGGATGAAAACGAAGACAATCTGTCTAATCGGCAATTATAAGATGTTCCAGAAAATCAACCCAAAATCTGCTGTATTAACCAATCAGATTTGTTTATGTGGCACATCATAACTAACCCACTACATCCTGTTTATCAGAAATAAAATAATGTGCAAATTCAAACATTCTATGATGGGAAATCATACACATTGTGGGGATCTAGAAGCATTTTGCTAAAAGATAAAGATCAAAGTTGGAGGAGTTCACATTGTTGCCCATCGGTTTAAATTTTAAAATAAGTAGCAAAACATTTTCAAAACATCTAGGCATTCAAAATAAGAGAATGCTTTCAGTTTTCTGTCAATATTATTGGGAATGCCTCAACAGTTACAAAACATACACTAAATGAATCAATAGTTTATTTTGCTATAGCTCTATAAGATCACACAATAATGAAGTTATCGATGACAAGCTGATTTTATGCGTTTTCCAATTTACTTAGCATTCCCGCATCTAGAGATGCATGATAAGCTCCCAAAATCCACAAGGCGCATCCATGATTTGCTAAGGCTTTGTTTAGTATTAGTTGTGGTTTTCAGTTTTGATTTTAGTTTGTCTATCTTTTGCAACTCTAATAAAATAAAATAAAAAGCTGTTTAGTTTCATGTGTTTTGCAATAGATTATTATAATTATTAGAGAAGTAAGAACAAAAATGGCTTTGATATTATTAAACAAGTTCATATTTTAGGTTGTTAGCGTTAAAACTTGTTTTAAACAAATTTTTTGTTTCGGTTTTCAGTAGTTTTTGTAAAATTTTTAAAAACTAAAAATTACAATCATACTAAATAGAGGCTGATTTTTCCTAGGCAGTTGTCAGGTTTTCATCCTCAAAACACTAAGCTGATAACCTTTTTCCTATCAAAGCATAGAAGGTCTAGCAACCATGTTTCAGATGCCAAAAAGGCCAATCCTAAACTTAATTGAGCAATTATTAAATATATAGTGAATTTCCCTTCTAGCAAAGAAGATGGGAACCATCCAAATTGCATGTATCCTAAAAGCAATGGCACAATCACTTGAACGATGTTCAAATAAATTTAACTACAATTCAGAGAAGCCATCTATTTTCAATGCATTAGTTAAGACAACTGTAACGGAAAGTGATTTTGAAACATTATTATTCTAAAATGATGTACAACAAATCAGTATACAACACGTTTACAACATTGCAAGCGTGTAAATGTGAAGAAATCTTGCCTCAATTGGATTCAGGTTGCTCCTGTTGACCCATAAGTGTACAGAAGTAACTGCCACAAGAAAGATAAACTGCCTAAAGTCCATATATATGCCAGCAATAACTCTGCAAGGTGATTTAATTATGAGAGTTAAAAGGTCTTATTTATTGATTTCACTCCTACAGTCCCACAGCACTGAAAACAAATATGTCCTAGTTTTTCATATCATGAAGATCATTCCATAATATACACAAATTATGAAGGTAGCTAAATGATTCAATGTGCATGTTACCAATAATGTAGTAGTTTATTTCAAGTGAAAAAGACATTGGTTCATTAAGTCATAACACGTGAAGAAAAAGACATTGGTTCAATAAGTCATAACACGTGCATTGAATCAGTCAAGCTCAAACTGTATCATTTTAGTTTTTAACAAGGCAACTGCAAAGGAAACAATCTACATCTTCATATGCATGGAAGATAAAATTATAGAACCAATAAAATGGGGGAAAACATATATTATTCAAACAAACTAACATGGCTAACCTACCTGCACCATAGTTCAAATAAAAGCTCAATCATCATAGGTGCTTAAAGCAGCAACAACAGATCCTGTTGTTGCAAAAGTTGAGGCTACATCCGGATAATCTTTCCAAGATGTCTTCATCTTTAGTGCAGGATACAACCAACTCTTTACAGAATCGATGAAGGAGTTTGGAGAAAAGTTCAGAATGGCTTCCCAGTCCACCTGTACACCTTTTGGGATGTTACCTGAGAATTCCATATTAGCTGCAAGAAACAACCCCAGCAGAACAACAAAACCAACAACAGCAGTGCCTCTTGACAGTGGCATGAAATTGTACCTGAAAAGCAATTAGATTATTTTAACACTATTTCATCTTTGTATAATAAACATATACCAACTTTGCATGTCCAAAAGTTGCAAGTTATACCAATAATATGTCATCCTTAAAATAGCTTCTCTAACATTTTCGAGCACATCGAAATCAGTAGACCCGAATGTTTCGCCACAATAAGCATTGCACAAAGCCTGCAAATCCATGATTTGATCAATTCAAATTTCATAGACAAGCATGGAAAAGGAGATTAAAATGTTAAGAGAGAGAGATAGAGAAAAGGAAGAAAAAGAATGACTTATTGAGAAATTTACTGATTGGTGCACTGAATGAAAAAAATCCAAAACATCATGCAATCTGATTGCTAAGTAGTCCAACAGCAGAGAGAAGCCCCCAAAACACAAATGCTTGTCTTGTGGGCCTTGTGGACTAATACCACGATTAGATGCACATGGCTGAGCAAAGGATGTAGAGGATGCATAGAGCCAATAAATTGAAATTTATCAAAAGGTACTAGCAGTGCTTCTAATATTTTACCATTTCTTGCACAATTCAATGCATGGTTAAATCCTATCATCTTATGCCAATTCATATGGTAGAAGTATCTTCAGACAGCAACTTAAAAACAGTAAGGCTGAAAGAACAAACTAGCAAAAATCCTTTGTGAAATATACGACTCAAAGAATCAGATCCAATGCATCAAGCAATCTTTAAGTTTAAGTCTAGTATCTTGAATTTAAAATCTGCAGTCAAGAACCAAAAATGAAGCAGGAAGATTTTGCCACAGTACAACACTGATTGATAGATTGTAAGGCTAATAATTAATTAAAATCTCCTGGCTCATGTTTGGATCAAGAGCAACTTACTTCCCATGCCATTGCCATTTCTGCATCAAAAGCTTCCCATCTTGAAGGTGTACAAGGCGTTCTGATGGCAAAGTCATATCCTTTTTCACCCCTACAAGAAATTTTGGCATTCTCCATTCATGAAACGAATGTATCACATTTGGGAGTGGGGAAAGGACAAAGTAAAAAACATAGTTGGAGGGAGGCAGAAAGGAACTGAAAGTAGAAATTAGAATTACATTTTCACTAAGGTAATCCTTGTCCCTTCAAGTTGCTTCCTGTAACAAGAATAAACAACCAGCATATAGGCCATGACTATATTATGTTAAGAAAGTTTAAATGCGAATGATATTATGCTCTAATTTTAGGCAGTGTTACCCTTCAAATGCTGTACTGTTGCACCAAGTAGCCAACCAGAAATCTTCACCAACAAGTTTGTAAAGATCATCACATGATTTTGCATTTGAAATCTGCATGGAATATGTTAACAGTGGTATTTACAAAGAATTTTCACACATAAGGTCCAATACATTGATATCCACAGAGGTAATGACACGGACCATAAAAATTCAAGCAGAAAGTGTGACCCACAAACATATTGCAGAACTGCAAACTCTATAAGATATAAGAACTTCATAGGATGCCTGAGGGGTTTAGAAAGAAAAAGGTAAAAAATACAGGCATATCCACTCTCTAAAAAGTTGACATTTTACAACTCTACTTCACAAAGTACAGCTGGATTTTTAATATCAATTTCAGATATTAAAAGGATGCATTTCAGATTAATGACAATTCAATCAAATCTAATAATAAATACCATTTTTCATTTTTTCTGGAAAGGACAGATTTGAATCTAAGATGAATGTCATGCTAAGTCCTTCCCTCCATCACTCAAGAGGGCAGAATGGTTACTCTAATCAGAGTCTATTTCAGGAATAATTGAGTGAAAACTATTAGTTGCCATAACACATGGATAAAGCTCGTGTTTGATAAATTGCAACAGCAGGAGCAAACAAGCTCTAATCCAACTAAAAAAGTACTTACCTTCTCTGACTTTTCTTCTTTAGAAAGATCAATAGTCTCATCATCCTTGTTGTTCACAAATGGTTTATCCTTCATGATAGTCTTTGCTACAACTAATGTTCTGCAACATTGCCAAAAAATGAGAATTTGGTAAAACCAATCATGTTCTGAATGAAGCAAATCACACTTTTACCTTTCATAATTAGGAAAATATCGGACAACTTTCGCTTGTCCAAGGATCATTGGTGTGTGAGACCCAAATCCAGAATTGAATTCTTCACTGAAAAGCACAGAGACCATCATTGGCAAAATTGAGGAAAAAAAGGACAAATAAAACCTGAGTTCAAATAATTATGTGAAAGCCCTTAATGGAATGTGAGCCACCCACTACAGTAATGAGTAATGCACAATGTCAACCGCTAAAGTTGTGTTGGGTTATATCAGATTCTTTTGATGTCCTATGAGTGAGATTTGAGACGCATGAATTTTCTCTCTCAAACCTAACACTAGTTCTCAAGAGCACCATACCAAGGTCTGCAACCAATGCAGCATTAGTTTCTAACAAACAAGATCTTATATGTAAGATAACAAGAGAGAGATTCGAACACATTAACCAGCTGGTCTTAAGTTGCTGCAGAATTGCAGATCATGTGCTTATATTTTATGGTTGGGGTAATTTAGGAAGAAGAAAAGAAAATTGCAAAATTTCACACCAAGGTTAATCAGCATGTCTGCTTACATTGTTAACATAGATTTTAGAGGTTAATGTACAGAGTAAAGAATGTCTGTTTAATTCTTAAGCATGCATCACAAAGGAGCATGGCCTTACTGCAAGTAAAATGGATGGTAGCACCTATGGAATTTCCCCAATCTATTTGGATTTAATTCTCCATAATTATATTAGCAAGAATGAATAAACAATACAAGAAATGCCTACAAGCTAGAAAGGAAATACTGAACATTCAACTAGTTTTTGCCTAATAACAAAGGTAATAAAATAATCTGAAAAATGAAAGTTAACTACCTTAACTTGTTCACCCACACAACAGGGTCACAAGGCTCAGAAATTTGCCTCCACTTGACAGCCAATGAATAGACATCATGCCATGACATCATAGAACGACCAGATTGTCTTTCTTCAGTAATGCCAGACGAAGTTGATGTTTCTGCAGAGTTGCTAGTACTACAACAAGCACCACCTCTGTTCTGGCTAGCCATACTGAATCTTTCCTTTCTCCTGAGTTTCTTCCCACTTTTTGAACTTTTATTAGAATATTTCCAATCTGCTTGCAAGGAACGCCAAGCTTTTGAAACCTTCTGTGCAATTTCAATGGCAGCTAATCCTGCCATACGATGCTGGAACATAATAGAAGAGGCAAAATGTTAACAATCAAATAGTGGCAAAAAGGCAGTTAGAACTACAGATAGGTAAGGAAAACACAGACATATGGGAATGTTTTTTGGTAGAATTTTCTCTTTCCCAAGGGAGGTAAGAAAGCTGTTAAAAGGGAGGTGGCTGGAGAAAATGCAAATTCACTGAACCAAGTAGTTTTGCAGAGTAATTGAACCAAAATGTAGTTGAATTTTTTCTTTAAAACAGGGAAAGGGGTTCTATTAATCAAAACAAAAGCTAAAACCTACATTATAAATCTCTATGGTTGAGAGTGTATATAAAATCTATGTCTCATTCTCATTCTCTTTATCCTGGGATCATTGTGAGGTAACTTTATCCAGACTGAAGCCATAGCTGTTCTGGGGTAATAAGCTAGTCTTATCATAAGCATAAGCCTGAAATAGAGAAATTAAACATTGCAGCAAATAACTTATATAATCTAGATGTAGTGCAACTTCTTCTTCTTCTTCTTTTTCAGGAAGATCAGATTTTTAAGCCAAACAATAGGGGATAGCCCTCCCCTTCCCTTAATCCTTCCGCACCTGCCTCTAGGATTCAAACTTGAGATCTCTAACTTAGAGCATCATGTTCTTAATCTAGATGTAGTGCAACTTCAATATGCAATTATATATCAACTAAAATTATTCACTGCCAAATTCCAACAGTGCCTATTTAGGCTTTTAAAGCGCTCCCTAGATTTAAAAGGCAAGTACTTTCTTTAATTTTCACAGTTCGCAATTAGATGATAACTTTTAACCATACAACACTCGCCTAGGAAATTACCATTCATTGACTCCAATGAAACAGCCAGTAATCACTCTTCCTTAATTGGCAATCATCTATGGAACTATGACTACACGGTAAAGTAGTGCATTACAACTTATCATTATATCATCTACATGAAACACATAACAGAACCAAACAAAGCTAATGAGCAAAGATCAATTAAACAAATTGTTTGAACGTGTCCTCCTAACACACATAAAGAGATGAATTTAGGATCACCTGACGCCTATTGGGTAAGAAGCCAGGGCAATCATATTGGATTTTCTTGCCAATTGAGTCAGCAGCAAGTAGAAGTGCAGTCTTCTGCTTTGTAATGGCATAATCTTGCTTTCTGAGCTTCCCTTTCTTCAAAGATTCAGGCAGAGGAGGCTGTCTATAAACCTTTTCACAAACATTCTTGGGGTGCAATCTCTTGCACCAGTATTCCTGGATCAATAAAAGTAAGGATCTAAGAAACAAAAAGCTGAAAGGAAATTAAGTCTCTGACAGCAAAGTACTTTACTTATAAGAGAGTTTCATATCTTTATCTTGGTAAATTGATTTGTTTTCCAAAGAATCCAAACACGTCATATGATCTCACACAAACTGTATACATGGTCAAAGAAAAATAACAATACCTTTGATTGTTATAAAAGTAATATTAGAGAAGCACAGTAAAGGCCGCATGCAAGAACAAGGAAAGAATAAAACATACCAGAATGCTAAACAGAAAACTCATAAAGAAACAAGCTATGTGGAGAAAAATGAAAATACATCCAATAGTCAAGTGAAAGCTGTCATACCAGTTAATGCTCCCCAAAAATAAAACACAACTAAATAGCCTAGGAAAACGGACAAAGTGCTTTCTCCAATATGTTCAGGTTTGAAGTATAAATAGGTACTTCTCTAACAAAATGTTAAAGATCAATATCAAGAAAATCAATTACAAGCTACAACTGTCACTAAGGGCTACCTTGAAGAGTGGATCAATATCTCCATCAATATCAAACCAGCAAAAGTCACCGTTGACTTTGGAAGCTGTGTATAGGGCGATCTCCTTCTGCAAAGAACTTTTAATTCAGAGACCTTAACATGTGAAAGCCAGGACATAGAAGTCTTGTTGAAGTCATATAGAGATCATGCCATTGCCAAGATGACATTTTGTAACACAGATGATCAATTATTTGTTTTGCAGAAATTAAATTGAAGAACACCAAAAAGGAAAAGAAGATGGATATCCTGATGATGTGAAGCATAAATTATCAAAGGGGTGATTTGCATTTTTCTTAATGAAAAAGAAAAAAGAAGAAGAAAGAATCCTAACAAGACATGCAGAAATTATATTTGTGTATCAGTCCTAACCTGATAGAATGCCAAGCATTGAAGCACAAATTTTTCCATTGAGTCTAGTTCAACATCCAGTGCAGCATCATAGTCCTTCACCTGTAAACATTAAATCATACTTCAGTAAATTAATCCAAAAGGTGATAAACGCCACCTATTGTATTTTACAATAAGAAAAAAGATTTTTCTTATAATAATAATAATAATAAAATTATGTTACCGCCTCTCTATATTCTCCTATAGCATGATAGCAAGAAGCTCGTAAATATAAACATTCTATATTTGATTTTTCAATGCTCAAGCCAATTGATAAATCCTTGATTGCCTTCCTGCAAAAGCCAATTTAGGCAGTTATACAGAGCAAAGGATATATATTCAGCCAGAAAACAGCCTTGTGCAATCAGATCCAAGTAATAAAATATTTGATAGTAAAATTACTTCCTTGGTCCCAAATTAAATGACCAACCTGTGCTCACCCATCCCATGGTATAGTAGCCCACGCAAATGGTATGCTTTAGAATACCTATATAAAAAGTCATTAATTGGGTTAGTTTCATGTAGATGTAGGTTGAACAATAAGGTAATACCTCAAAAATGAGCAAATTGGCATGGCCAGAGGCAAAGAGAGTTACCTCCCATCAATTTGTATAACTTGTTGAAGGCATTCCAATGCTTTTTTAGAGTTTGCCATATCTTGATAGAACTGCAAGGAATTCATGTGTGGTAATACATGTAAAGCCGCTTTTATTTTTGCACAAACTTGGGAAAGCAACTTCATTAAGCTTTTCTAACAATTTCCAGAGACAAGAATGTGTATTTTTTACACCAACACAATAGTTGTAAGTAGTATACCATATACATATCAAATGGTTGAAAACTAGGAATTTTCACCCTTTTGTACTGTCCTATAAGGTGAGTCAATACTGATAGCACTAAGGGAAAAATGTTTAACAAGTTTCAGAAACTCTCTTTTGAAAAATGACAAAATATGGTGAAATTACAAGGAGGAGAACAAGCAAGTATTAAACACCAAAATAATATACAATTATAGTCTTTATTTTAACAAACTAGTCTAAGACTATAGATTAGCTATAATAGTTAGGACGACACGTACGTAAGTTATTATCAATTTAAGAGTAAAGGTATTCCAGACTGGTTGCAAATCCAACAAGAAAAAGGAAATATTTTGTTACTCACAACCCTACTTGTATGAGCTAGAGCTTTCAGTGCTACATAAAAATTTCCCTGGTAAGGCACCAGTGGCATATAGTTACCTGAGTAAGATGAGCCCATGCTTCAACAAAATGTTGGTCGAGTTGGATAGATTTTAAATGTGCCTCCTCAGCCCTTCCATATTCCCCAATAGAAGATAATGCCAATCCCTACCAGGGTCAAAAGTCAAAACCACTTATTGAGATAAATATAATATTAGATTATGGGATCAGCAAGATTAAAGATGGTAAGTGCTGACCAAATACGTATATGCAGACTTGTTGTCCTTGTCTAGTTTTACACATTCAGATAGGTCATCTACAGCAGCATGGAAATCTTTGAACTTGAAATTGACAATTCCTGCATCATGTAAATAATACATATATATATAAAGCTAATTATCATTTCTATGCAATAGACGTTCTTGTTATGGTGCAGATAATTTATTGCAATCCTTCGTGATATCGTTAAAGTGCATTACTTGCATCCTAGAAACTGTTATTATTTATCAGACTATATTTTAATCGCAACATCAAAACAGTAATGCAAACAAAACTTCCTGTACTTCATGCATTCACTTCATGATTAGATATTAATAGCTACACTTCATAAATTGATGACCGGATAAGAGGAAAGAACACAAAAAGACAAATGCTGAATGCTAAAATTGATTACAGTTGTATGGCTCTGCTTTGGCTAAAATCGAGGAAGTTTCCTAAAGCATAAACTTATGATTAAAGCTGGGTTGAACAGCTTACCCCTTTCATGTAATATATCTGCAGAATTTGGCTCGAACTCTAGAGCCTTGGTCAAGTCTTTGATTGCCTGGTATAAAGATGCAGTAAAAATTGTCAAATTTCTAGTATGATAAGCACTAGGATCTATCATTGGTTCATAAAAGAAATATTAAGAAATTTAGTTTAAAGATAAGCACTTTCCATCATTTAATTCAAAAATCACAGGCATAAATTGAAAATCTCTACTGTTATGTTTGATGCTTTTTCTTGGCAAAAGTTCAGCGATCTTACACATAAGTTAGACTGTCATGCATAACAACAGAAACAAACACTCTCAATCCATAGATGGATAATTGAATATTTACCAATTCGCTATTGGCCCTTACTCTTGGCTGATAAACATATGATAAAGAGCATCCAGCCTAAAACCAATTGGCAATAGGAAGAGTAGTCCATATTATATTTAAAGTCTACATGTTTCCCCTGAATTAATGGATGTGGGACTTTCCCACTTAATAGATCAAATGCAACTTTGCAAAAAAACAAACAATAAAATTATCCTTGAACGGCAATGATGCAAAAAATAATGCATACATAAAGTACTCTTACCTCAACAGATTCTCCCAGGGCAGCACGGGCCTGGCCCCTCCTTTTCCAAGCCTCACCAGCTGATGGGTTGGATTCTATAGCCTAAAAGGAACATTAACTGTATCAATGATCTAGAAGTAGAAGTCTATCCTTTCTTTCATACCACCGCATCTTTAAGATCATGTACCTTAGTAAAATCAGCAATTGCAGCTTCAAGCTCTCGTTGGAAAGCATGTGCAGTCCCTCTTCCTATTAGTGCCTCAGGATAAGCAGGATCCTCTTTTAGTATCTGTGTAAAGTTGGAAAACGTTGATGTTAATATTTTCTATTTGTCCCTTTCCCATACACCTTCCAACAAAAACGAATGAAAGGAAAAAGAGGACCACTGAGGGCAACTCCAAAATGGTAGAAATTTATAAGAATTACTAATAAGAGCCAAAATTTTACCTGGTCAAAGATAGATATTGCATAAGCATAATTCCCTTCATTAACCTGCAAACAGAATACACAGCTTAAGGAGTTATGGTTTAATGTTAATGATAATTGCACTAAATCAAAAACCACAAAACCATACCTGGGCAATGCCCCTGGATAATCGAAAATCTACACTGATTGATTTGGTCTTTGAAATCTTAGCAAGACAGAACTTATTATTCCTCCTGGCTTCATTGCTTTTCACATCATGAGTGTCAGATTTGTTAATTGACTTGCGGCAAATTTCAGTTGTGTCATTTGAATTGCTGGAAATCATAGAAGATGTACTGCATTGTTCTGATTCATTACTTAAGTTATTACAGGATTCAGACTCATAACTCGTTTTCTCCAGAATACCACTAGTTCCATTTATCACACTAGAAGGCTTTTTATTCATGGTGGTTTCATCACCTAATCTGAGTGTGACGAACTTATCACCAGACTTGTCATGAACCTTAGAAGTATCCTCAGAATCATTGCTAGACTTGGATCCATTAATTAATTCACTGAGATTTTTGTATGGTATACAGGTTTTGGCACTCGTGTCATGTACAGATTCAGATAACGGCATCAATGACTTCCCCTTGACATTCTCACTTGTTCCATTTTGTGGTGTGTCTAAATCATCACTACTATTACTGTGGTACTCAGATACTTTCTCGCACTCGCTGCATACGTTCAAGCAGTCCTCTTGATTCTGAGTCTCAGAAGTCTCATTTGATTTTCCATTCATATGAGGTTTGGATTCAGATGCAGGAAGAGGTACCCCCGACTCAGTCACATAGTTTTCGCTAGTGATGCTTGTCTCTTGTTTGCCTTGTTTTGCAACTACTAGAAGCTCTTCCAGTTCTAGCAACTGCTTCAGATCGGTAGACTGCCGCAAAGCAATTTGGTAACCTTGCTCCCAAACTGCAAGAGCTTCCTCTTTCCTTCCCAAGGCAGAAAATGCACGACCTAGATGACAAAAATTCCCATGCTAAGTTTGCATTAGAGCACATGATCCCCAATATGAGACAACTGATTCTACCTTTTAGTGTCAAATAGATCAGAAAATTTGAGGAAACTTGTCCCCATAAAAGTATATAAAAAGATAGAATCCCAAAAATTACTGGTTGCATGGATCAAATAGAAACTATATCAGCATAAGGTTCAAAATAAGGATAGCTCATTCTAGATTACAACTCTAGTGTTTGATCAGGAAATTCTACTTAAACTATTATCATTTCAGTGGTCCTCAGTATAACCTACAGACAAAAAGTAAACTTCTCATATATCCAACAAATATGAACTTAACTACCATCTTCGACATGATCTACTATATTATTCTTCTCTACATATCAGATTTTACAAGTCAACAATAGCCAACTAAACTTTGTGCAAGCCAAATGCTATTAATTATAGTTTGCTTATATTGCAAATTACACTATATACCAGTGCATCTTGACTCCCCTATTTCTCTTGCTAGAGATGCATCACACAAAAAAATAAATAAATAACATAAAACCATCAAATATGAAGATTGTGCTTAGCACCACCATCATTCAGCCAGACAAATCAAGATTTAGTATATGCTGTAATACACCACCCAAGTCTTAACAATTTTTTAATAAAAAAATAAAAAATAAAAAGAAGGAAAGAAAAGAAAAGGAGGTTATATACCAATTAATTACAAAGTTGAAATAAACCATTCCAGCGTGCAACGTCAAGGCATATTCAAGATGTCAGTGCAAAATCAAGTCGAAATGCAGCCAGAAAATTCAAAATCTCGTTTCAACCACTTATTTTGGAGTTCAATTAGCTGTATGGCTCAGATTCACAGATAAGAAATAGCTCTAATTATCCAATTTTCGAATATGGACCGACTGATTTCTCTGACAGAAGCTAAAATCAACAGCCAAACAAACCTAGAGACTTTGTTCATACATACCTTTAAGGATGTAAACTTGAAGAAGCGTTGGGTCGAGCTGAAGCGCCTTGTTGCAGTCTTTAATCACATGCTTGTGAAGCTCCAATTGACTGTAACAGAATGCTCTATTGCTGAAACCAAACAAGCATGCAAACACAAAATCAAAGATCATAGCTAACTGAAACGAAACATAAAAAACACGGAAATTGTGGTAGAATTGCACATTGAGCAGCACGAACCAGATGTCTTGTATTCCGCAAGACTGAGCGAGGAGTGAGTCAAGGACTCGGATTGCCTTGGACCAGTCTCGCAAGCTGCAGAACTTAGCGAGCTCCACTCGCTCAGACACAGCTGAGCTCATGGCGAGCCGCAGCGGCGAGGACCGGAGGTGTGCGGATCGGATGTGTGTCTCAGACGTGGTGTCGACGGTTGAAGGCAGAGACGAGAGAAAGGGGGTGAAAATGAGGAATTAAATTAAAAATAAAAAAGGGTTGAAACGAGGAAAATAAGCGAAGATGAAGGGGAAAGAGAGGGCAACGGTGGCGAGGAAATCGAGTGATGGGGTAAGGTGGATCATGGATGATCCATAGTCACGTGCTTGTTACACGTGTAAGATAAATCCCTTGACCCGTTGTTCGGTTCATTTATTTCCTTGGCCCATAAAAATGGGTCGGGTGGGTCGCGGTCGTCTCGACGGGTCTGATGGCTGATAATGGGGTGTATTATTTCGCGTTATAATTTAATATTAATACAATTTATATTATAAAATATTAAATATTTTTAAATTATAAAAAATTAAAATATTTTAATAATTAAAATTTTAAAATATTTTATAAAATCATTTAAATATTTTAATAAATTAATATAAAAAATATTTAATTAATTTTAGAGAAAAATTCTGACTTTATAAATACTAAAATGGCTTAATTTTTATTTTTTAAAATATTTTATTGTATCATAAAATTAATTTTGTATGGTTTTACCATTTTGAGGCAATTTATTGTATGCATGATGACTGATTCTGCTCTAAACAATCTCAAAAACACATTTTTCTCTTTGGAATAACACATTTAAAAAACACATAATTCTCTAAAAGTTAAACTCAAATTTTTAATTTTGTAATATATGCACCATTTTATTACTACTGTACATATAATTTATATAAAAAAAATAAAAGTTAATATTTATTTTAGCATTACTCTATGATATTACTGATTAATTGATTAAACTGAAGTGATGAATTAATATTAGTAAATAGGTATATTTATTGCGTTAAAATTTAAATTATTGGTTTTTTAAGATGCAATAAATGTATCTTTTAACATAATTAGTTATTCTTAAATTATAGTAATCCACATCTATACAATAACATTTAATTAATGTCTTTAAAAAAATAGATAACACTCATTAGTACTTACCATAATTATAATATTATAAGCTTATATCATAATTATAGTAAGATTCAATGGCATTTAATGTTTTGAGGTCTGATTTTTATAAATGTTAATCTTTCTATTAATTTTAAGGTACTTTCGTTAATATGTTAATATGTTACAAGCATTCATTTGAAAGGGTTGCGATTGAATTTATTATATAGTTATTGTAATTGCGATTTTCTCTATGTTATCTTAAGAATTACATTGGTATTTGATAATTATTCAAAAAATGTATCAAATATTTATATAATTATTATAACATATAAAATATTAACTAAAATTAATTTTAATT